TAGATGAATGTGACATAAAGTGCCGGTGCCGGTGCCCCGCGGGCGGGGGGAGCCCGGGCTAGGGCTGGAGCGATGGCGGGGTCAGGGTCGGGTAAGAGAGTTAAGGCTGGGTCAGGGTCAGTGTTCGGGCTCTGGCTGCGTTAGGACGAAGCCGAGGGAGCCCCATCCCGAGGGCAGGGGGAGATGGTCGCCCAAGCACTGGGTGCCACCGGGATCTACCAGTGGGTGCAAACCGGGGACATGGGAGGAACAAGTCTGAAAGATCCCATGGGAGAGAGGGAAGCGGCACAGGGAGCAGCAACTTTCCCCATGCGGCTCTGTCTCTGCTGCCTTCTCTCCTCTCCCGGCCTGGTGCGGGTCTGGTGCGGGCCTGGGGTGGTATAGGTGCAGGAGGGGCATCTGCAGGGCGGGGGCGCGGGTTTGGCCAGGGCAGCCCCTGGCCCGTGGGTCCCCCTTCTCACTCCTGGCCCTGGGGCCAGTATGGGGTTAGGGTAGGGTTAGGTTTAGCATTAGGGATTGGCTTAGCACTAGCATTGGGGTTAGCACCTGGATTAGGGTTAACATGAGGGTTAGGACTGACATGGGGCTTCGGGTCAGTGCTAGGGCCCAGGTTAGGGTTAGTATTAGGGTTAGGGCATGGGTTATTGTTAGGGTCAGCCTTAGGACAAGAGTCAGGCTGAGGATTAAGTTTAGGGTTATGGGCAGCATTGCATTAGGGTTAGGCTTAAGACTAGGGTTAGGGCATCCTGGATCTGGGCACCTTTGCCATTTGGGGCTGCCTGCGCTCCCTGTTTGAGGCTCTCCCTCTTCCCCCCATGCCCTGCCGGGCCTCGCAGCCACCCCCAGGCAATGGCTCCCCAACATGTCCCAGCTCGCCCAGCATCCTGGCCAACATAGGGCACTTGCGGCCACGTGGCAGCGTGCCCTGGCAGCAGCCCCAGAAAACACCCATGGGACCCAGCGGCGTCCGCACGGGGACAGTGGGACAGGTGCTGCCAGGAGCATGCCAGGTGCCCTGCCACTGCCATGGCATCGAGTGACCCATCCCAGGACGAGCTTTCCTCCACTGCTCTGGTGAATCGGTGCTGCCAACTCCCCGGGACCTTCCTGAGCGCCCAGCTGGGGAGAGGCAAGGCACGACAGGACAGCACTGAATTCACTTTAGTTTATTTCTTTTCATTTTTTTCTTGTTCCAAACTGCAAATCCTGGTGCCAATGGCGTCTCGGCTTGAATAACACCCAATTGCTAAAGCCAATGCAGGGGCACCGGCGGCGCCAGGCCGGAGGCGGGAGGCTGCCAGGCAGCCGGTTTGGGCAATTCGGGGCTGCCGCGTCCCTGCTCGATGCCGAGGGGACGGGCCAGAGAGAAATAAATATTGCTGCACTAGTGAGGGATGCCTCCGGGAGCGGGGCCGGGAGCCACCCCAAGACAAGAGCTGGGCTGTGGCTGGGGGGGGACATACAAAAAAGGGGCCAAAAAAAAGAAAACTAACAAAACAAACTGATGAACCCAAACGGAGTTTGCTGGAAGCCGGGGTTGTTTCGGGGGGGGAGGAGGGAGCTGAATTCCTGACTGCAATTTGCACGGCAAGCCCCGGCAGTGCAGCCCTGCACCGCGTGGCACCGGATCCCGGTGATGCTGCCGGCTCTGGGCTCCCCATTGCTCCCTCCGTGGAGCCGAATCGGGGCTGGGCATGGGGTCGGTGGGGGGTTACAGCGCTGGGCAGGCAACCTGGTGCCGGATGCCCTCGTTGCACATGAGGGCGGCCGCCCGCTCGTCACCGTCGCCGTGCTGGCACTGCATGTAGCTGATGCCATGGGGCGAGTAGCTGTGGTGGGTGCAGACGTTGCAGGGGCGGGTCATGGTGCCGCCGGTGCTGCTCCTGTGGGCAGAGGGGAGCCCCAGTGGCACCCATCAGTGCTCGGCGGTGGCCGGTGGCACACATCGGTGCCCACCAATGCTCAGCAGTGCTCAGTGGCACCTCACTGTTTTCCATCACTGCCAAACAGTGGCTGGTGGCACTCATCAGCATCCATCAGTGCCCATCACTGCCCTCTGGCACCCATCAGTGCTCATTGGGGTCCATTGGTACCTGGCAGTTCCCAGGGGTGCCTATCGGCACCCATTGGTGCCCGTCAGTGTCCATCAGTCCCCATCATTGTCTGGTGGTACCCATAGGTGACCCACAGTGGCCATCAGTGCCTGGTGGCACCCAGCAGTGTCCATGGGTGCCCATCGGTTCCCAGTGGCGCCTGTGGGTGCCCATCAGTCCCCAGTAGTGCCCAGTGATGCCCGTCAGTGCCCAGTGGCACCTGCTGGTGCCTGCTGGCCCTGTGCCCATCCCATGCCCCCATGTCCCTCACCTGCAGTCACTGCAGGTCCGCTGGCACTCCTTCCGACGGTAGCGGCACATCAGAGCCCAGATGAGGAGCCCGAGCAGGCTGAAGAGCAGCAGAGAGCCCAGGATGGAGCCCGTGATGATGCCCGCCTGCCTTCCTCCTGCAGCAGGAGCACAGCCTGTCACCGCCGGCCTCCCTGCCGGCTGCCCACTGGTCACCATGCCCCTGGTGGCACCCTGGCACACAGAGCCAGTCCCCAGCAGCACCCTGCCTGCACTGTTGTCCCCCCGCCGCAGTGGCACTTACTTGGCACAAGGTTGAGGTTGATCTGGCACACAGAGTAGCCGACACGGTTGGTGACACGGCACTGGTAGACACCGGTGTGCACCTCTGTCAGGCTACGGATTAACAGGTCGCCAGGAGCACGTCCTGCAGCGGAGAGAGACAGCCGCATCAGCCCCACCCCTGCCAGCACCCACACCCTCGGCCATGGGTGCACAAGGACAAGGGCACATACAGACATGGACACCCATGAACACAGGTGCACACGGACACCCACATACCGGGGTGCAAACAGCCATAGGTACCCACCAACACATGCACCCACAGACAGGGACACCTCACCCATGAGCATCCCCCGCACCCGCGTTTCCCCTCCAGCCCCTGGGTGGGTGCAGCCCTGCCAGCACTTACCTTGGATGGTGCCGGAGGGCAGACGTCCCCCACCGTAGCCGTCGGCCAGCTTGGCCCACTGGTAGGCGAGTGGGGAGGTACCCCCCCGGCTGTAGCACCGCAGCAGGATGCTGCTCCCCTCTATCAGCTCCCCCTCGGTCCAGCACTGTGGAGTAGCTGGCTTCTCTGCAGGGAGAGGGACACTGTCACTGTCAGGACCACCGGGGGCCTCCCAGGGCATCTGGGAAGGGGACATGGTGGGGGGCAGTAGGGGGCTCACCTTGCACAGTGACGATGACTTCATGCACGGCCACGGTGTTTTTCTTCACCCGGCACTGGTAGGTGCCAGTGTCAGAGACCTGCAGGTCGGCCAGGCGGATGGAGGCATCATACTGGCTGGGGTCGTTCTGCACAAAGGCAACCCGGTCCTGCAGTCCTGAGCCGCTGCCGTAGTTGACGTGGTGGTCATGGTAGGACAGGAACTGGGGGGGGCAAGCAGGGAGACTGGGCAGGGCTGGTCCAGATGGGGGTATGAGAGGCTGCCGGCTGGGGAGGGAAATGAGCTGCCCTGTGCCTGCCTGGCTCTGCCTGCCTCTGCCTGCCCTGCCTGTTCCTCCGCTGCCCTGCCTGGTCCTTCCCTGCCCTGCTTGGTCCTTCCCTGCCCTGCTTGGTCCTTCCCAGACCAGCATTCCCAGACCCTGCCTGGCTCTGCCTGCTCTACCTGGACCTTCCCCTGCCCTGCCAGACCTTGCCTGTCCTGCCTGCTCTGCTGGGCTTTGTCTGGTCCCTCCAAGCCCTGCCTGCTCTGCCTGGTCCTTCCCTGCCCTGCCTGGTTGTTCCCTGCCCTGCCAGACCTTGCCTGTCCTGCCTGGTCCTGCCTGCTCAGCTGGGCTCCATCTGGTCCATCCCAGCCCTGCCTGCATGGTGGGATGGCAGCTGCCAGGATGAGTGACACTCACCACGTTCTCTGGGCCAGTCCGCTCGGGTGTGATCTGGATCCACTCAATACCCACGCCCTGGGGACCGTTGTCTTCAGGCTCGAGGACGTAGGGGCAGCCCAGCTTCACCGAGTCGCCCTTGGCCAGGTACAGCACCTCCCGGCCCTTGCTGTTGATCCTGACGGCCAGGAGGAGAGCTGGGGAGAGAATGGCATCCATCACGCCGGCTGGAGAGCACGCCAAACCCTACATCCCATAGCACCTGACCTGCAGGAAGCAGGGATGGGGCAGGGACCCATCTGCCAGGGGCACCTGCAGGGGCTGGGTGTCCCAGTGGGGTTGAGCACCCATCAGGGCTGGCACCCGCTGGGTCCTGTGAAGCTGCATCAGGACAAAGGGACATAGTGGGCTCAATGCCACCTGCCCAGCTCTGGCCAACACAGGTGGGTGCCAGGGCAGGACCAGCCCCAGCTGCAGGTGCTCTGCTGACCATGGGGTGCATCTGGCACTCTGGGGTGCCCTGCGGCTGGGCAGGGACCCCTCCATCCTTGGCGGCATTGCTGCAGGAGTGGGTCCAAGTGCAGGGATCCATCAGCGCCTACCTGGCATGAGACCCAGGAGCAGGAGCAGGCTGGCGCCGTGCCCTGCCATGACGCTGCAGCCGTGCCGGGCGGTGAGGAGGAGCAGGAGCGGAGGAGGCTCCGAGGCGACAAGGCAGCCGGCTCTGCGGGGCTGCTTTTACATGCTGGGCCGGGGCGCTCCTCCCCGTGGGGCGGATGCTTTTGGGATGACTGAGTGGCTCCAAGCTGTGCATGAGCGATGCCGCCCTGCTCCACTCCCTACCTGGTAATTAAGCATCACCATGCTATGGGCTCCCATCCAGCCAGACCCAGGCCGGGGCCCACTGCAGGCAGCGTGGGCAGGGGGCACCATCATGCCCCGGGGCACCCAGAGCAACGGAGCAGGGATCAGGGGGCCTGTGGACCCCATGGTGCCCGGTGGCTCGTACCCTGGTGGGGGCACTGGCAGAATGAGTGTGGCCAGTGGGTAAAGGCTGCCTGGGACCCTGCAGGAGCAGCCCAAGCGTGGCCGAGCACCGCAGTTGCATGAAAGTGCCAGCTTGACCCCATGCAGGTCCTGAAAGGATTTTGGTCTCAGGGCAGGACTCAGGGCAATTGGAAGAGCTTAAAGGTGTGGTTTGACCATGGGCTTAAGCTCCTGCAGATCCCTCCTCTGGTCCTGCCCCCTCAGTGAGTGGGCATGGGGATGCCATGGCCATATGGGGACCGTGGCACCCACCAAGCCCATGCTGGTGACGGTGGCACTGCTGAAATACTGTGTGGAGGCATGGCTGGTGCTCCAGGCCATGGCTCACTGCACAGGGACATGGTGGCATGGCAGCAGCAGAGGCAACACACCCTGGGCCATGCTCAGCACAGCGGAGGGGACATATAATGTGGTTGGAGGAGGCTGGGACAGCCGGAGGGGAGGAAGAGAGGGGTCAAAACCTGCTGGGATCTGAGGGCAGGAGCTGGGGACAGGGATGCTCAGCAGTGGGTGGAGGAGTTGGGGACAGGGATGCTCTGCAGTGGATGGAAGATTTGGGGACAGGGATGCTCGGCAGCAGATGTAGGAGTTGGGACAGGGATGCTCGGCAGTGGATGGAGGAGCTGGGGACAGGGATGCTCTGCAGCAGGTGGAGGAGTTGGGACAGGGATGCTCGGCAGTGGATGGAGGAGCTGGGGACAGGGATGCTCTGCAGCAAGTGGAGGAGTTGGGACAGGGATGCTCAGCAGTGGGTCCCCCAGCCATGGGCACTCTCTGTGCCCGCGTCCCTTGGAGGGGCTGAGATGGCTGAGCCCCCACACTGAGCTGCTCTGGTGCTGTGGGCCAGGGTCAGGCCCCATGTCTGGCTCACCCGTGCAATGCCCCGCGGCACAGCTCGGCCATGCTGGTGCTTTCCAGACCACGACTGCCCCAGCCGGCTCGGCAGCACCGCCCAGCTCGGCACCACAGTCCCAAACACTCCCCGGGGCCAAGAGCTGCTCCATTTACTGGCCCCAAGCTGAGCTCACCACTGCCAGTTAACCCTTACCGGCCCCGTGCTGGGAATTGGGGCTGAGCCCAGCACGTGCTTCACCGCGTCTGTGATTTCAGGTACCCTGTGCGTGGCCTGGCCCCGGGGCAGCACCGACGGGGCGAGGGATGCCGCCTGCCGGGGCCCTTCCCGTGTGGTGGGGTCTGTTCCTGCCGTGACAGGAGCCGTTCCCACTGTGACAGGGCCGTGGCTCACCGCAGCTCGGGGCTCCTTGCCGGCATAGTGCTGGCTCCCTGGCTGGTGACTCCTGCATTCCTCGGCACAGGGAGCCCCACTCACGCAGGAAGGGTGGGGAAGCCACTCCACCCCGGCTGGCTGCTCGCTGGTGGTCACAGCCTCTTTGGCGCGGCCAGTGTGGTGGCTTTGAAACCCTCTGGGCTGAGCATGGCCTAGAACAAGGCTATGACTGCCTGGCCAAGGTGGTGACTGAGTGACATGGCTGGCATGTGGCTGCTGGGGACCGGGGATGGAGGTGCAGGCAGCTGAGCCTGGTGCAGAGCACCGCAGATGCTTCCTGGGCCGGCCATGGGTGCTGAGGCCGCAGGGGGTCCAGAGAGCTTGGTGGCCGCGAGGGGCTTGCTTGAGATCGGGTGGCAGATACCCTGCAGCACCAGCAATGCCTTTCAGCCCCTGCTCCAAAAGGGGTGGTGCAGCCCCACTGTGCCTGGCTCTGTCACGACATGGGGACACACAGCAGCTGGAGAAGAGACAGGGAAGAGATAACAAGAGTCTAGGGCATTTTGTCCTCCCTATTTACCCAGCCTGAAGGAGGCTCAGGGCTCACAGCAGAATCCTCTGAGCCGTCCCTGCCCTGGGCAGTCTCACCTTTGCCAGCTCTCTTTATTTTTCAGCTGCTCTGACAATTAATCAGAGCCACTCCTACGGGATCCCGGCCCTCTGAAGCTGCCAGTCCCTATCCAAATGGATTTTAAATGTTTGCATCATGCTCCAGTCTCTTTGCTTTGCCCCTGAAGAAGGCCACTGCTGCAGGGCCCGGAGGTAACACCTCAGTGAGAGGGTGGCACTGCCAGGGCTGATGCAGCTGTGGGCAGCCAGGGCCAGGGCTGTGTGTGTGTGAAGAGCCCATTTGGCTCATGGGGACCCTACGTGAGCCACCCTGTGTGGGCTGGGAACACACACCCTGCTCCGAGCTGCTTTGGTGGTGACACTGACCTGTGCTGAGAGCCTGCAGATACTCCTGGCCCCTCCGAGGACACGGGCTACCTCTGACATCTCTCTCCCAGCAGATGTGGGGAGACAGGCAAGGGGTGATCTCTGTCCTGGGAGTGGTGCAGGTTGGACAATGAGCCTTTGGGCTACTCCAGCTCCAAGGGCAGCTCCTGGCCCAAAAACCCGAAGCAAGAGAAGGATGAAAGACACCATCTGCTCCATAAACACCTCTGTTCATAGAAAACTCAGCCTAAGAAAATGGAAGCCCCTAAGTGGCTGGGGAACTGGAGCTCCTCTCATCATGTGGCTGAGCCTGGCCAGGGGCTGTGCTTGATCGGCTCAGGGCCCTCCGCTCCACCTGGGCACAGTACTTCTCAGGGATCCCGGAGGCTCTGCAGAGGGAAGAAATCATCAGGCACCCTATGCTACACCAGAGCCGAGCTTTAGGACTGGGGCCCCCGGAGTGACTCCTGTTTGATGAGAATGCAAAGGAACCTGTGAGGTGGCCCAGGGGTCAGGAGATGGTGGGAAGCCAGGAGGGACTTAGGGACATGCAGGGAACCAGGGAAGTAAGAGGCTGCTGGCAGCACATCACCTGAGCTCCTGCATCTTCTGCTGCTTGAGCTGGGCGATGCGCTGGCTGCGCTGGCGGGCCTCCTCCTCCAGCCCCTGCCACTCCTCAAAGGCAGCCACCCGCTCCTGCGCCAGCTGCTGCTGACGTTCCCGCATCTGGCGCCGGACATCGTTAGCATGGGCAAGCTGCAGACGTGCCCTCCGCGCTTCCTCTGCCTTCTCCTTCTCCATCTGCTCCCGCTGGGCCCTGCAGGAGAGCTCAGGGAAGGTAAAAGGCCCCGCTCCAGCCCCTGTACATGCCGATAACCTGCCCGTGGGGCCTCGGCCAGCACCAGAGCCACCGACTGTGCTGACTCATTGCTCGGAGCCCCCATAGCAGTCCCCCTGCCACCACGTCACCTATCCCTCGGCCCCGTTTTGCAAGGCAGGGTCTGGCCATCTCACTGGTGGGCTCCTAGCACCATTCCTCTCACCTGAGGATCCTCTCGAACTCGTGGCGGTCCTGCTGCACCTGCACAGCCATGCTGTGCTCCCGCTGGGCAATCTGCTCCAGACGACTCCGCTTCAGCATCTGCTCCATCTCGGTCTTCTTCTGCGCTGCCTCCTTCTCCTTGCGTCGCCACTCTCGCTCGGCAGCCTCTTGGCTGTGCTTGGCCCTCAGTGCGTCCTGCCAAAGGGGGACAGTGGTGATGCTGGAGGGGTCCTGGAGGGCTTCCCTCAGGGGGGAGGTATGGAAGCACTTGACTGTGGTTTTGCCTCTCTCCCAGCGTCATGGCCAGCACTACTCCAGAACATCACCTGGCTCCAGGTCCCAGTCCAGACCTGCAACGCCCCAGTAGACCCACCACATCCAGGACAGCTTCCACTTTGCTGAGGTGGTGATGAGGAAGGTGGCGAGTGAGCCAGTATGGGAGCACATCGTGTGTCAGCAAGCTGCTCACCTGCTCTGCCTGCTGGTCCTGGGCCCTCTCTTGCATGGCTCTCAAGCGTGCTGTCTCCTTCTCCCTCTCCCGGCGGATTCTCTCCTGCTCAGCTTCAAACTCTGCCTCACGCTCCTGCGTGGGACAGAGCCTCGTGGCAGCTCCTTGCAGCACCTCTGCTGCCTGCTGAACCCATGCCAGTGCTGCACACACTCAGTCCTATTACCATTTTCTGCCTCTGGTACTTGAGCACCCGTTCATCTGCCATCCTCTCCTGCTCCTGCTGCTCCTCCTTGAGCCTCTGGTTCTCATCATTGATGCGTTTAATCTCAGCCTGGATTTTCTTCTGTTGCTCCTGTCTCCGCTCCAAGTCCTGAAAATGGTGCAGAAGGTCTGAGGGTGACAAGACAAGCGCTGCAGCACAGAGCACTCCCTCCGCTTCTCCCCATGTGCCTTCCTGAGGGCCCACCAGCACACTCGGGGCTCGGGAGGGCTTGGGCCACTTTCTGAGGATGCCTCAACTTCCCCAAGAGACTAGAGCTTTAATTCTGCCAGCTGTTGTCTCCACACACCAAGTCTGACTTACCCACCACTGGGTCACCCTTCCAACAAGGTGAAAATCTAACTCCAGCCCCCCCTGCTCCCTCGTGGGTCACTGGTCACACCTTCAGGTCCTCCATCTTCAACTGCTCCAAGTACTCCAGCAGCTCCTGTGCCTCCTGGTCCCGTTGCTCGGCTCTCATAGCCTGCTCCTCAGCGTTCTGCTCCATCTGCTTCACAAGCTCCTGCCTCCCTCTGGAAAGAAGAGAGCAGGTTTCCCTCTGGCTCTGTCCCACTCCTAAAAGCAGAAGTGCTGGCATGGACATCAGGTGGTATGTCTGCTGCCTTGCGCTGCCTGGTCCAGCCACTGTGACTGGGAGGCGTGCTGCAGTGTGAAGCCAGCAGCTGGAGGTTATCCCAGCTCCTGCACAAGGCCTGGGAAGAGGACGGATGCCTCCGCGGGGAAGAGGGACTCTTTTGCAAACCTGATTAGCTCCTGCTTCCTCCTGCGCTCCAGCTCCTCCTGCATTTCGTCGGCCTTTTTCCTCTCCACCTCCATCATCTTGGCCAGGCGCTTCTCTTCTTCCTCCAGCTCTTTTGCGATGAGCTGCTTCTCAAGGATCTGCGTGTCACGGATCATGTGGCACTTGGCACCGAGGATCAGCTGTGGGGACAAAAGGTCTCCCTGGGCTCTGAGCCAGACTTGGCAGTGGCAGCAGGGACAGACACACAGACAAGGAGGGGGAAAAGGGAAGGAGAGGAAGACCCTGGGCAGCAACAAGTAGAGCAGGGTTTAAGTCCAGAGTGGCTAGGTGAAGTTCATGGGCGGGGGGGTCTCAGCAGCCTGTCTGAGCAGGCAGCTCAGGCAGGTCTTAACATCTGCAGAAGGTCCTGCGGTGCTGGGTGACACAAGGGAGCCCCCTGCTCTACCTCGCTGAACTCCTTGATCTCGTCTTCCTGCTCCATGCGCATCCTGCTCGCCCGCTGCAGCAGGTACTGGGCCCGCTCCCGCGCCTCCTCCTCCAGCTCGCTCAGCTTCCCCGTCTGCTGCTGCAGGACAGCCCTTTGCTTTGCTGCACTCTTGCGCTCGCTCACCGCCTCCTGGGGGGACAGGCAGGGCTGCCAAAAGCTGGATGTCCTCCTGGGGCAGCCCTGGGAGGCTGAGCCTTCCCGAGGGTGCTGTGGGGCAGCCTGGCTCATAAGGGCCACACTCCACTGCACTGCATCGCTGGCCTGAAGCCGAAGGGCATGGCAGGGTCCTCCAGCCATGGCACAGAGGCTAGGTAGCGCCTTCCCACACCGCTATTAAGATGCCCCACTCCCTTTGCAGGGTGGCAGAAATGCAACACAGAGGCTTCGTCACAGCCTCCGGGGTCACCACGGGCTGGGGGAGCAACCAGTGTGGGACTGCTGGATGCAACCAGTGTGGGATTCCTTCCTCGCCCAAGGACCAGGCAAACCCTGGAATCCTGCAGAGCCCTTGCTGGGCTGGGGATCAGAGGAGACCCTAGACACATAGCCGTGCTGCCTCCCCTGCACGCTGTCCTGGCAGCGATGGGCACACTAAAACATGGGTGAAAGAGGGCTTAAGGTGGTGGCCCCTGAGCAGAGCTCCGAGGACAGCCCCAGCTGGCGTGTCTCTGATCCACAAGGTTGGCTCTACCTGGGCGCATCCACCTCCACCCGCAGCCCAAGACCTGTCAGCAAGCAGGGAAAGAAGGTGCAGGAGAGGAAATGCCTACAAGAACAGCTTCCTTCTCTGCTTTGAGGGCTGCCAGCTTGGCCTCATGCTCCTCCTTGGTCAGGACTTGAGCTGCTGCTTTAATGCGCTGGAAATCCTCCTGGCCAATAATGAGGGATGTTGCTGGGTTCTCCACAGGGACGCTGGGCACAGAGAGAGAGCAATCAGTGGCACAGAGTCTCCAACAGCTCCCTCCATTCCCTGCCCCACTGACCTCCCTGCCTGGCCATGGGACCTGCCTGGGCTGCCTACATCGGCGTGGCAGGAGCGGCTCCACAACCAGGAGTCACCTGAGAGCAATGCAGGAAGTGCCTGAGCTGTGGGGACCCGACTCTCCAGTCGGAGGGGAGGAAGAAACAGAAAGTGCAGTGAAAGCAGCACCAGGCTGTGATGCACCAGGGGGACACACAGGATGCTCGGCAGGGTGGCCAGGGGCCTCCTGGGAAAACCCCAAAACATTCAGCATGGGCCTAGTCAGCCCTAATAAAAAAAATGCTGAATGTATTTCAGTCCAACTTGACTTTCCCAGCTCTCATTTGGGAAAATTTTGACCACTGCCCTGACCCCTTTTCCAGTGGGACACGCTGCTCATCCCTGCCCCTACACTGACTGTCACTGCTCCTGCATGCCAGATTGAAACCTCTGTTCTGTGCGGACAGATTTTTGGGGTGCAGAAGCTGCCTTTTCATTCTGTTTTGTGACACTCAGCCTGCTTTGGCTCCAGATCTGCACAGCACAGCTCGGTTTTGGCTCCGCTGCCCCGGGAATCCACTCGGCACAAGACGAGGAAACGCCACACTGCCCAAACACAGAGCACCCTCTCCCCTGCCAGTCAGTGCTGGCAGGTGTCCTTCCAGCCGTCACCCCGGCTCTGCAGGACACTGCAGAGCCACAAACTCTGCCCGTGACTCATGCTGTGGTTGAGAGGAAATCACTGAAGCTCTTGGTGCCCCCATTTCCCCACTTGTAAAAATGTGGATAATAATACGGGGCTGTTTTCCAGGGGAGTTGTAAGGAGTTAATTACTCTTTGTATTACTCAGATACCATGGTGACGCGTGTGGTGTAGGAGCGTATATTAACCACATGCATAGAGCACTTTGAAGATGTTCAGGACTAAGAATTTACTCATTATTATTGTGTGTCACCTTTCATCCACCCTTGTGAATATGAACAGATACCTGCATAATGATCATTCGAGAGCTGCATCACAGCATCGGATTCCAGGACGCTTTAAAGAATGGCTAATGGTCACAACGGCACTAATAAAAGTAATGATACAGTGGCCACTGCTTTAGTCGTCTCTGTGTTTGGGTGACCAGCCTGGGATGTCTAGGGCCTGATTTTCAGGAATTAAGCCAGCATAAACAGTTTCCATCAGCTTCAGCTGGAGCTGTGGCCATGCGACACATCTGGAAATTGGCCCTCAGCTTCGTCAGCAGGGCTAAATGAGAACGTGAACGTATAAAACCAGGTACCAGCCTCGAAAGCCTGAACCAGTGCCTCTGTGTCATTTCACTCTCCACAAAACCCAAACCCAAACCATCCACAGGGCAGGTGTCATGTTTTATGGGGTGTAAGAGCATTACACAGAGGTTCAAAACAGGAAGCAAAGATGATCCTCGAACCAAGCGATAACTACAAGGAAAATTTAGGGAGGTCAAAATGAGGCTAAATTGGAGCTGGCTGGGATAATGGCTCTATTCTCGGCTATGTGCTGCAGGCTTTTAACGAGGTGTAGTAATTAGGGCCTGGGTTCTTACAGTTCAGCCTTGCTTATAAAACATCCCTGTAGAGAAACACACAGCTCCTGGTGTGCAGGAGCTGCAGATGATGCTCCACTGCCTCACACGGGCCTTTTCAGTATCGGGGCATGGGAGGCAGCGTTTGATACATGATGGGGGGCAGGTGCCACCCTGGGGGGGGCTGCTCAGCCCAGAAGGAGCTTTTCTGGCTGCTGAGAAGTTTTTATGTTGCTTTTTACTGGTTCTTATGATGATTCAGTGCCTCTGTAAAACACCTAGTGCTCAGCGCTTACCGGCTCCATTGCTGCCCAAGCCAGGCGTATTGGAGCGCTGCTACCCATCCCTCCTCCCCTGAGATGTCCCGGAAAGCGGCGGGACAAGCTCTGTGCACCGAGAAGGTGCTGTGACAGACATGCAGAGCCCTGAAAGCTCCTCAGAGCTGCCACTCGGGCACAGACTTACATGAGGTCACGGATGAAGTCCTTGGTGATGAGACGGATGGTCTCGGGCTTGTGCTCGACAGCGGGTGACATTTTCGGGGTAGTCTGCACATTGCGAAGGATCACGATGGGGCTGCCAGAGCACGACTGCTGCAGGCTCTGCAAGAAAGGACGGTGTTTCCTACGGCTTTCCTGCCACCGCCCCATGCTCAGCTCTCTGCCCCCGGCTCCTGGGCACAGAGGTGCTCTGGGTACGAGAGGCCCCCAGGTTCCCATGAGCTCGAGATGCTTTCTGACAAACACCCTCTCTCACCACCAAGGCCAGTGAAGGCTGGACACAGGAAGGGTTTTTTGCCTCAGCAGCCCCAACTCCGAAGGCCTGATGAGGACATGGGGAGAACCAAAAATACCCCTACAGCACAGGTTTTACTATAAAAATCTGGGCATCAGTCTCTCACTCAGATCTGAAGCAAGCAATGAGCTGATAGCTGCTTGCTCAGGGCACAATCTCACAAATGCTCAAGCATCAGTTCGGCTACCTTGAGCTGATGGCAGCTTGCCCCTGCCCTGCTCACCTGTGGCCACCAGCACCTCTGTGCTGCTGAGCCCCACAGACTCAGGAAAAACCGACCCAGACTGACCCAAACTCACTGGGGGCTGGCAGGGGGATCCTGGGGAGGGGGAAGCGGGGACAGCTTGAGGTCTGGCCTTGCAGGGCCATCAACCTGCAGACAGCACTGGGCAGAAACCAGTCCTTCCAGTACAGCCTGGACTGGTGCCAGTCCCTTTGCTTGAGCTGAGACTGCCACCTAGTGAAGTGTCCCCCGGCTGCGGGGTGACTTGGGGACCCCACTTCTCACCCCCCGGGCAGGGTGGGTGCTGGGTGCCCCCGGAGGGGTGGGAGCAGCCAAGGGATGTCCCCAACGCTCGTGGGGCCACCCCACAGAAACTTCTGGTCAGGCTGCAGGGCCTCCGCTAGGCAGGAACAGGCATCCCTCCATCCCAGGGTGAAGCCCTGCCAGGGTCTCAGACAATCCCACGGGAAGGAGCATTTCAGAGGAGGCCCTGGTCTGCAGAGCAAACCTCCAGCAGCCGAGTGGGACAGCCCCTGCCAGGACACCCGCGCCCGGTAGCGCAGGTTCGGCTTCCCAAGCCCAGGGTCGCTTCCCCAAGCCCAACCATAGCGTAGGTATCCCAGCGAAAGTCTCACCCAGGTCAGGGAACTGCAAGAGCTAATCTAAGGTACACACAGATGTGTGGTTTCCCTTGTACTTCCATTTACCAGTTCAGCTTTAAAATCGTAAGCAACTGCTGGAACAAATCCTACAGCCAGCCGGGCACTGAGCAGTTCCCTGGGAACTTGCTGCTGGCAATATTTCCATTTTACGGGTCTGATGACCCCAAACCATGGGCCCTCCTGCAGCCCAGCACGGCAGATACTGGAGCAGCTTCCCAGCCACCGTGGGCCCCAAGTGCGAGCTGTTGAATTAAAGGGTTTGGCACTGAAACACCCATGCAAACAAAGATAATGGTGTTATTCACCACAGCCAGCTTGCATGTTGTCCCCAAAGCCAGGAGAATTCCTTGGACTAGACCTGGATTAATCTCAGGGAACTCAATTAACACCCATATGAGCATTATGACATTTTTATCTAACTGCCTTGGAGGCCTCCAGGATAACAGATCATAAACCTGCTCAGGGCTCCTCGGCTCACAGGGCATCTGAGATACATGGACCCGGCAGCCTCGGAGCAGTTCGCTTGCCGGGAGCGCTCCCAACCTCCTGCCCCACGAGGCAAACCGTCCGCACAGCCTCCAGTTGGGAGCGGAGGTAATGTTCATTACATGCTTCCTTCCTCTCCTCTGAAAAGCCAAAGGGTTTTGGCAAGTCTCTTTGGACAGATTTGTTTCAAGCGATAAGACCCAGGAGAGGAAATTACAGCCGCAAACACACACCCCCATGGAGGGACAAGTGCCTGTTCTAGGTACTGCGGCTGCGGTGGAGATACCCCCAACGTTTTACCAGCCAAAGAGACGGTGAGCGTGAGATTGGCCAAACTCCAGCAGCATCCATCCTGGCCCTTGTACCTCGATCTGTGTCAAAGATGACACAAAGGGTGGGGAGAGCAATGGCTGCAGCCATAAACCCAGCCTGCCACAGGGAGAGGACCTGGGAGAGTCGATGAAGGAGGTGCGGGGAGCAGCAGCAGGGGAAGGACGTCCAAACATCACCCTTGCCTGGAAAATACCATCATCCACCTCAGTGACAGCGGCTGCAGCTCTCCCCTGGGCTCTCCTGTGGGAGCCGGGGACAGCCGAGGGACGAGCGCGGAGGAAGCGAGCCTTTTCCTTACAAGACCGGAAAGAGCCACTGCTCTCTGTTTATCTCCTCTCTCAATGGCCAGGGCATCCGGCCAGGAGGTCAGAGACCTGCTGCAGTTCTGCCTCGTCTCCAAGGGGACTGATTTCGTAGCTCCCTGATGAAAGTCTAAATATGTTGGCAACGAGCTGCTCTGGAAGCTTCCAGCCCCTGCTCCAAGGACTCTCTATATCCCACATGAAATAACCACTGCTGTATATCCCACACGAAATAACCGCTAATGTACAGACCCCATAACACTGGCTCCTCTCCTTTAGCAGTGTGTTTCGCCTCCTTTGTCTCACTAATTAACCAATTACCCTGTGAAAAGTGGAAGCTTGCGGCTCCAGGAGGTGAGGGCGGATTTTGCACCCTCCCAGAAGGAATGGACGGTCGGGCTCCCACAGCGGGGCAGGGGGTTAAGAGCACAGAGGTGGCAGGGGCCAGGGAGGGCTGGCCGAGGGTGCGACCACGTCCCTCACCCGGGAGGTCTGGAAAACAGCGACTGTGGAGGCAACGTGGTGGAGAAGAGCCTGCGGGGAGCGAGCTGGTGCGAGCAGGGTGGGAGGAGGCCCGGCAGAAGGAGTGCGAGGGGCCAAGGCAGCCGAGCAGCCCCCTGCGCCCGAGTGGGAGCTGGGGAGCACCAGGCAGGACCCCAGCACCGTGGTGCCCCGGGCGGGATGGGGCTGGCTCCGGCCTGATGAGGTCCCGGCCACCCTCGACCCCGCTGCAGGGGGTCGGGCGGCCGGCGGTGCCCCCCGGTGTCCCGGCCCCCTTACCCGGCTCTCCCTGAACAGCGCCTCACCCGCCGCCGTGCTCCCGGCCGTC